TTCTGCTGGCGTAAAATGGTGATGTGGAAGAGGTTGCTTCTTAACAATTTCTATTCTGAGTTGGATAAAAGCTTTTCTAGCCCAGCACTCTTTCTCCACCGTTGTTCAGGAGGAAATACTTAGGAAACAGTAAAGAAACAGACTTGGCTTCAGTGAACTTTGTGATACACCTTCCTAGATTCTTTCAGTCAGCAACGTTGACTGAAACTGAGCTGAACATTAGATCCAGACTGTTATGTTTGATAGCAACCCATAAACTAATCCTTCATAAGGATCTAGTTTATCTGACTTTGCTGCTCAATGCCTTTGTTTCCTTTTCTGGAGACATTAAGATACTGATCTTATTTGGAAAGGATTCTAATCTCTAATGAAAAAAAAGAAAACATACTAGTCCTATTTATATTTATATGAAAACAATATGAATTTTAAAACTTATTAAAACTATTGCTCTTTATAAAAAGCTTTCTCTTGCTCATTATGAAAATTGGGATAAAAGAGGATAAATCAAGATGACAGAGAGAATACAGGGGATAAGTATTTTCTTCTTTGCTAAGTTGTTCTCCTAAAAGCTAATAGAAAAAGCAGGCATATACAGAAGGATGAAATGTGGAAACAAGGACAGTCTCCCAAGGATCAACATGGAAGTATTTCTTGGGCATGAATGGATTGGATTATGAAAGCCAAAGTGGTGCTGGAGTTGAAACTTTTGAGAGATGTAAAAGGCAACGAGATAGGTTTCTACAGGTACACTAGGAACTAAACGAAGACCAAGAAAAAGGTGGGACTGCTGCTGAAAGGAGTGAGTGACCTGATGATGAGGAATACAGAAAGGACTAACGCACTTAGGACTTTCTCTATCCCAGCCTTCACAGGCAAAGTGTGCTCTTATGCCTCCCAGGTCTTTACACCTTGCAGGAAAGTCTGAGGAAGAGATATACTACCCTTAGCAGAGGGGGCTCAACAAGGGACAGGTTAATTAAGCTGGGTGTAAGCAGTTTGATATGACAGGATGGGATGCATCTGAGCATGTTGAGGGAGCTGTTCTATGTTATTGTGAGGCCATTCTGTCATCTTTGAAAAATCATATGAAATGCCCAATAACTGGTAAAAGACAAATGTCATATCCATTTAGAAGAGACCTAATCATTGGGAGATTTTCTTGCTATCTTTCTTCAACAACAGGTAGACATATATATAATCTTATGAGAATTACTATCAGATTTCTTCTACATTCAATTATAATGGAAAAAGAAAAGGAAAAAGTTATGCTGCCTTCTTTCAACTTTTAGAAAAGTTTTATTTTGTTTCTATCCAGACTTGGTGCTTGTTCTCAAGTATAACATCTCTCCCAAGAAGAATGGTAATTTTGTTTCAAAAGATTTCTTATCACACTTTTCAGTTAAGTCTTAGTCATAATACACAAGAGAGTATTAGAGACTGATGTCAAGCTGCAAAGTGCTATAAGCATGACAAATCTTCACTTTAATTCTCAGAATTTATTTCCTTTTGAGGAGGTGTGATTTCCTTCTGTCTCTTCCCTTTGGCATTTACTGACTTGGGAATGTTTCATATTTTCCTCCTATTGAGTAGCAAATGGCATCTAGTACTACTCCTGAATAATTTTTTAAAAAGCTACTTTTACAGCAGGAAACAACTAAAGTAGATATTAATGTGCCAGCTGCACAGATACACTGTTGCTTATTTTATAAGAGAACCAGGCAAAACATAAAAATAAACCCACTGAAAAACCTGTAAAGCCTTTGGGTCTATCTCCATCTACCTCTGAACATCCACAAAACCCAGGTGAATTTGGATTTTGATTCTGCTTACTGTAGAGATACATGTAAACAGTGAAGTCTGGAGTCGGAGTTGAACTAAAAAATTAACAAACAGATTTAATTACATCTTAGTCCTTTGTCTTGTATATATAATATGCATACATTATTGCAAGGGTTATAGTATGTTTATTGGAAATTGTATTTATGCTTTTTCTTAGTATATAGTGTTATGTTTGGGTTCTTGGTGAACAGAATAAAAAACCTCACTTTTTTTCAAATCCAAGAAAAGTCTTATTTATGTATGACCTTGGAGTCCTTGACTCTGTAATGAGCAATCCTGCCAAGGGGAAAAAGCTGAGAAGTGAAAGTCAGCATCAAAAAATAAGAAAGGAAATGACTGAGTTAACAACAGAAAACAAAGTGGATATCCCCAACCTAGTTTGCATAGAATCATTAATGCCTCTGAAAATGGATCACTGCAAACATGACACTAAAGTATTTTGGCTGCGTAGACTAATACATCAGCAGCAATAACATGTCAAAATAAAAAATTGCAGAAGTAAATTAATTAATGTCCTTAAAGTCATAATTATGCACAGGCATGAACCAGAACAGGTAGGTAAATGACTCCCACTCAAGAATGGCAGTGCCTAAAAGCTGAGCACTTTGTCCCTTTGGAATGATTCACAGTGTGTAAAATTAGGAGCCCAGAGTCTCCTGGCAGTCAAGGAAAGTCATTAAGCATTCCTGGGGAGTGATCCTGGGAGTCCTCATGCTGCAGAAAGTCACTTACTGTGAGTAACTGAAACAGGGATATGTGACCTAATTTCTTCTTAGTTTGCCATAAATGGCTATAAATGAGTGTACAAAGTTCTGAGCACTTCCTAGAGGTGGATCAACTCACTTAGCAGAGCTCATTCCTTGTAAAAGGCTGTGCAGAATAATCATACAGTGTTACAGAGTTGACTTATGAAATCTTTAACCCAGGAAAACAGGTCATCTGGGCTGGGATTTAGGTTCCATGCCAAAACATCTACTTTTAGGTGTCTGCATGGGAGCTAGCAGTTTCATTCTGTTGTATAAATGTTCAGCTCACTCTAAAACCAAAGATAAACAAAAAATAGATAATTAGATAACTAAACAGATAATTATTTTTCATCAGCAGAAGCAATCTGTAGTCCATTGATTGCATTGTTTAGCTTACTATTACCTACAATAGGAGCTTAGATAGTGGCCTGCAGCTACACATAGATAGCTAAATTCAGAGGCCTTAATCCACAAGTTTAACTCCACATAAGGTTTCCATTGTCTGCTCAGCCTGAAGGGATCCTGGCTTTGTTCAGCTCCTCCTACAAAGGAGACTCCCTTACTAATAATGTTGCAGAACAGTTCTAGATGACTGATGCAAAGAGAAGAAAATGGGGGGCACGGAGGCGTGCGGAGATACCCTTGTTCTGGCAGGAAAGCCTGGGATCTGAGGGTGAGTAAGGGAGAGGGAGTACGTCTCTGTGTTTAGTCATTAACATTCCCTACCCATAATTTGGAGACCTTGGATATGGTCTCCAGTTTGGTGTTGCATCATTTATTAATACAGTGGCTATCTAATGTAGATGTCAGGCAAAGACCTGGGAACAGAGACAGATCTCCATTCATTGTCTCGCACGAACCAGCAGAATGTAGAATCCTTTTTGTTTAACATCTTCTATGTTTCTCCCCACTGCTGCCCTACTTCTTACACATCCAGTTTCAAGAGGATGGGATAGAATATGGCCTGATCCACTCTATGCTGTAGCTTGGTAGTTAATAAACTCTCCTGGGATGCTAGCGGTGATAGTTTAGACATTTTGAAATTCCAAGTAAGTCTCAAAGCAGAATCCTACCCTTAAATTGCCTATTAGTCTGCTATTGTGGAGCTTAGTCTATGAACTTTTCCTGTAGCAGGTGAAATATTTTGAATGATATATAAGAAAGCCCTTGGGTAAAAGATACATCATGAATAAATGATAATGGTCAACACGAAAGTCTATTCACAGGAAGTATTATCAATCAACATGAGTGACTATTGAGAGAGATTTAAGGCTCAGACTTTTAAAAGAGCATAAGCAATCCATTTCCCTTCAATTTTCAGCACGAACTGAGGATATATATATAAACTAAATTGTTTTAAAAACCTTAGCCTAAATTCTCAACACAGTAAAAAATACAGGACTTGATATTGCATCCTGCTGCTCATAGAAGTGGTCCAACGGTGATATGTGTATTCCTTGCTTTATCAGACCTTCCTGCATCTTAATATCTCTGGAGAACTGATTCTGTCAGGAGGATTCTGATCCTGACCGACTGTTGCCATGGTGTTGGGTTATTCTGGGCTGTGATCAAGAAGAGCAAACAAACTTGAAAAAGAAGCTGGCTTTAAAACATATTCTCAAGCCATAGTGCCTGACACTAGTTTTTGAAAACTAAATTTTGATTTTTGTACAATGCAGCAGTTGTTAAATACTTCTGAAAAAACATACTTATAACCAGAAGTGCTGCTATGACAATAAATACACACATAAATAGAGGAAAATGCAGGAGGAGAGAATTGGGCCAATTCTTACACAATTCTCTTAACAATTTGAAATTGTTCATTTTCATTTAACGGTATTATCCCACACTAAACTGAAACCCCCAGCTTCTCTGAGAGCATTTGAATGAGTAGAACTTTTTGCAGATTATACTCTTCTTTTACTAGGCACTATTCCAAAGCTAGTGGGAGTCAATGAATGTCTTTTTTGATATTACTGAGCTTTTGAAGTGAGTGCATGGTAAGGAGTTTGTCTCCCATCCCTAGACAGTAATATAGCTCTTCTTTTACACCTGTTAGTATTCATTCAATTGCAAGTCATCTATGTTTACTGAAAGTGCTGCAGGAGGTTTTAGAAATACATGAGACAGTATTTTCTGTATGCAGGTGCTGGCATAATAAGTTCATATTCTTAAAGGACAGAGTTCCCTTGATGGGAAAAGGAAAAAAAAAAGGTCCTAAGAGAAACCCTGGTGGTGTATTATCCAGGTGATGACCCCAGAAAGATGCACAAGTTTCAGCGAGCAATATTTAAAACAGAAAAAAAGCAACGTGGAATTATGTAGGAAATGGGGGGAAGTTTTTGTCAAGTTCATTATTTACAGATGGATAATTTTGTTTGTCAAATTACTGAGCATGTTCTTCCTATTCCATAGGCAGAATTCACAGCCATGAGAGACCAATACATGCGAGGCGGAGAAGGCTTCATTATCTGCTATTCCATCACAGACCGCCAATCCTTTCAAGAAGCTGCTGAGTTTAAGGAACTCATTTATCGTGTCCGGCACACCTATGACATCCCCTTAGTGCTGGTGGGAAACAAAATAGATCTTGAAGAGTTCAGGCAGGTAAGCAACTTCTCTGCTGGTTTGGCTTGCTTTTCCTTGGCTACCTCAGGGATTTCTGTAGCATATGTTGTACAGTACTACTGAGAATTATTAGCACAAGATGAGGTTTAATCAAAGAGCAACACACTAGGATTAGTAATAAATTAAGGACTTTTCATTCATATGTTATGGATCTTAAAGTAGTTTTGGCCAATCACATCCAAATGTTTTTCATTTTTACTTGAAAAGGAATCCCACTATTTTCATTGGAAGTTATATACATGCTCAACATGAAAATAGATTCAGTCAGGACCTTTGTGGCAAAAAAAACTGTTTTCTTTGGAAGTTACTAACCTTTAAATACAGAATTTTTCATAAATGTAGTAGATTTAATTAAAGGTTTCTCAAACTCAGACTGAAAAAAAGTTCTAGTTAAAATAGATAAATGCATATAAGCTCACCCTTGCCTGAAAAGTCAGTGGCTGTGTTATTAGAGTGTTCAGGGAAGATGGGGACATGCAAGACTTGAATTCACTTTGATTTGTATACAAGTGTCATGGTTTAACCCCAGCCGGCAACTAAGCACCACACAGCCACTCGCTCACCCTCCCATCCCCGCCCCCCAGTGGGACTGCGGAGAGAATCAAGGGGAAAAAAAAACTAAAACCTGTGGGTTGAGATAAAGACAGTTTAACAGGCAAAGCAAAAGCCGTGCATGCAGGCAAAGCAAAATGAGGAATTCATTCACTCCTTCCCATGGGCAGGCGGGTGTTCAGCCATCTCCAGGAAAGCAGGGCTCCATCACGCCTAACGGTGACTCGGGAAGACAAACACCATCACTCCAAACGTCCCCTCTTCCTTCTTGTTCCCCCAGCTTTATATGCTAGGCATGACATCGTATGGTATGGAATATTCCTTTGGTCAGGTGGGGTCAGCTGTCCCAGTTGTGTCCCCTCCCAACAGTTTGTGCCCCCCCAGCCTGCTCACTGGTGGGGTGAGGAGCAGAAAAGACCTTGACTCTGTGTAAGCACTGCTCAGCAATATTGAAAACATCCTTGTATTATCAACACTGTTTTCAGAACAAATCCAAAACACAGCCTCATACCAGCTACTGTGAAGAAAATGAACTATCCCAGCCAAAACCAGCACAACAAGATCTGAACCACCACCACCCATAGAGCAGTAGACTTCTTTGACTATGAGGGCGTTGACTGTGGCTCTCTCAAAGTCTTTAGTAATCGTTGCTGACTCTTTTCCTTTTGCGTCCTCTCCACTTCTTACTTGCTGTTTGTGTTGATGTGTGTGTGTGCAAGGAAATGAGTTAGAGAGAGACCATCTTAGAAATGGCTTGCTTGTGACCTGGTACTGAATGGAAAATATCCTTAATCTTAAACAGAAACTTCAAAAAGGGGGAAAAAAAAAATCCTATATGGAAATCTTAAAAGGCTCTTTATACACACCACAATTGCTTTCAAATGATTGACTTCTGTGCAGACATATGTAACGGTTAAATAAAATGGTACTTTTCACTTCATTAGCATCTGTGCTCACATGGTCCTGTCTGCTCTTCTCCACTTATCCTGTCACTTTTTTCCCCATTTCTTTGTCTTCTTCGTTCTACCTGAAGAAAATCCAAGGCACTGTTAAGCCTGAAATTAGTCCTGAAGATCTAATGATGTACATTTAAAACTTCACATGTGTTTCCAGATCATTGACTTTCTCCCTAAACCATACTGTGACAAAACCTTAATGGTGACAATCCAGTCGCAGTTTAACATGCAGCTTGAGACTTCAAACAACAGTGCCATGTGCGACATGGAGTACAATCTGTGCAGCTTCTGGGATACTTATATACCAGATGGGGGAGGGATGTGGATTCAGTTGTTCTGCTGAGTGAACAGGACATTGCACCTGATCCCAACAGGAATGGGATATGATTGATTACCTACAGTTACCTGTAGATGAGGTTTTCAGGAATGCTCTGTTCACTAAGTGATATGAAGACTCTTGGAAGAGAATTATATTTGGCGCTACCCGTTTCTGATCTTATGTTTTGTTGGGCATTTATATTTTAATCACTGTCAATGCATATAAAAAATATGTGCCTGTTTTAAATGTTTTACATGCTCCTTGATGATCTTGTCTGGTCTCCCAAAAAAGGAAAATTAGCGTGCGTGAATGTCTGAATTGGACATCATAAACAGCACTCAAGATTAAAGGGCATGGGGAGGATCTTGGGAATGATATTAGAAATTTTGTCTTTGAAATGTGACAGACACACAAAAAACTGTTATACAAGGCTGTCCCTGAAGATCCTGCCTGAATGTGTATCAAGACAGTTCCAAATATTGGTCCTATTTTTTTTAAAAGCTTTCAATGAGCCAGGATTTAGGTCTTCAGATTCTTTTCCTCCTTGACCCCTCTACAACTGTCAACAAACATGGCAATGTCGGAAGGGTTTTCTCAAATATTTTGCAATCCAGACTTTGAGCCATGGGACACCCTTACATCAAAGACTAGTAAGATAATACAATACAGATCTGGTCCTTTGAATAAAGCACTTGAATATGACTACATCTACACGAGCAAGTAGCATGAGCCAACAGGAGTAGAACTGTAGAACAAAACAGTTTATTCTGAAGTCCACATTTTGGGAATTTATTTTTAACTCTGGACTAGCGCTACTCCAGGGCCATTATCTCCATGATTAGCTGGTGCTGAGGTGTGTAAATTGTGCTCCTGGAGCATATCTTCACTTAAATTTCATCCATAGTTCAGGTAATGTTCTCAGAGACGACTCCACAATTCAAAGCAAAGCCTGGTTCTATGGAGGTGATTAGGAGATACCGCTCAGAGTGCCTCTCTGATCTCAACTAAAGCACTAATGTGTGGGAGGTCATCTCTGTGCCCAGCTTTAAACGTATGTTAATGGACTTCAGCAGCCCGTTATTTCAGAACTGGGAAGTGAGGTTGTGCTATATGTTTAACAAACACTGAAATAAGTTATATCTATGCTTACCTGTTAGATTAAGCAATATCTAAGTAACTTGATGAACTGTGGGAAGGTGGATTGAAAGGAATCTTTTCAAGGTCATGTACTGTAGTTACGGCTTCATTAAAAGTGCTTGGATGGTCAAGAGTGGTAGCCAGCTAACTCTGGGGTGACAGGCAGCAATGGTCTGACAACGTATGGCAGTAACATATCAACGAACAGACAGTGAGGTACACAAACATACAAAATTCAAACAACTGAGAAATAGTAGGTGTCAGAATGCAATTAGCCAGATTGGAATTTGGCTAGGGCACCAGGGCTAATATTGTTGCTTTGTTTAATGACATTTTTCTCCTATGAAATTCATTAAAGCTACCGTAATGTTATTCTGGTATTTGGAAACATAACATTAAGTTCAACATTCCCAGGCTTCATTTCCATTTAATGACAATTCCGCAACAATCAGACAGGCTGTAGTGGCTCGGTCAGACAAAGATCTTGTTTGAAATGTGATCCCCTACACAATACAATTAATGATGTATGTCACTTGCCTCAAATCTATCAACTACGAGAATAAAACTAATCTGCAATTAAAATTTTGTGTTAGCAGAAACACTACTGAAAAACAAAACCAACAAGCTTATTATTTTTAAATAATGTTTTTATTTTCTGATGGCTTCAGTGAAATTATTGTTGTCCTTAAGTATGCCTGTCATTTTTAATGTCTTAAGAAATGGGTTTGCCTGTAGTCCTTAAAACAAGTTTTAATTACATCCATCAGCCTAAAGAATAAGCACTTTCCATTTTCTCTGAAACAATGTGGGGGAACAACTCTGAAACAACTGTGGGGAAAAAAATATAATAACTCATTATCTTGATGTGCATATTCAATCTGGTGGCAAGGCTCCCTCCATCCTCCATTCCCTTCCACCCATTAGTACTGCAGCTGCGTCTGGTCCTTCCTGACCTTGTTTCATTTTGTGTTCAGAGATTCACCGGGAAAGCGAATTGACATGAATGGTTAAGGCACTCATCTGTGTTCATTCCTTGATTTTTAGCCATTACTCTAAGAAATATTTAAGTATTATATGTATTTTATCCTATAGCTATTGGTCTTAATGGTCTCAAACCATAGTTTCAGAAACATTTAGAGGCAGCTGATATGTAGTATAATAGATACTTTTATTTCAGATAAGCTTTGTCACTTTACCCCAGGTCAACATCTGGTTCTTACTGAAGTTTAAAATCTGTATAATGAGTAAATATCTAATTAAAACATATTCATCTTTAAAAAAGACAATAAACAACTGATTCTATTTGAGCTCATGCCATGCGAAAGCTAAATTGCAGCTTTTAATTAAAATATTTTGTAATAAAGACATGTGGCACTGCTGAAAGGTTGTTTGAAAAAATATCCATAAGGCTGCCTACCGACCACTGTAATATATTACATTCAGCAATTCAGAGGGGAACTAACTACATAAGCTCCTTTGAACAATGTGCTGTAGCTCTGAGCTGGAAAGAATAGATACTTTCTAGTAGTTTTTTCCAACTTTTAATGTAGATGCAAGAACCCCTCTGGAAATTTTACCTGTATAGAAATTGCATAGCCTTCATGGAGCAGTTTTTCCTATACGCTTTTGTTTGACCCCAGAGGAATAAGCTGTGGGCTCAGTCGAGTCCACGGATAACATGTTGATGTCCATTGAGTCCAAGGTTATGAGGGCAGCTCACGCTTCGTTCAGCTCTTGGCCTCTCTGGGAAGCCTGTCATCAAAGCTGTTAGTTTTGCCAGTACTGTCTTGGTCCTGAAAAGATTTATGCAGTTGTTTACCCTTCCACACATGAGTTGTCTTATTGGCTTCAAGCATAAATATGAGCAGGAGCAGTGCTTTTGAAAGCATTTTCTTCCTTTTCTCTCCTCTACAGCCTTGCTCCTTCAGTAAGAAATATGAAATCAATATGAAATCGGTCTTTAGCATGGAACAGTATCTTATTTGGAGTGCAAATTAATTACAGGGGCTTCATTC